AATAAACCTTTGTATCACACTCTTTCACACTTATTTATAAAAATCCTATATTGCTTTTATTTTCATATGTGTTATCCTGAGCTTTATAAACAGATTTTAAGTTTTTGGAGGATAGCAAATATACCCAGTTGTTCTAAGTTAGAGGTTACTGATGCAAAAACGAACACAACTGCCCTGGCTGGTTTGGCTCAGCGGCTGGAGCATCAGCCGGTGGTCCAGAGAGACCCGGGTTCGGTTCCCACTAAGGGCATATACCGCGGTTGCAGTTTGTCCCCGGCCCTGGATGGGTCGTACAGGAGGCAGCCACTCGATGTGTTCCTTTCACATCGATGTTCTCTCTCTCTCTCTCTTCCTTTCTCTCCCTCCCATTCTATCTGGACAAAAAATGGAAAAATTTCCTCGGGTGAGGATAAAAAAAACAAAAATGGACACAGCTAACATTTATTCAGGGCTCAATGAATGTTGACAACCCAATGATGAAGGTACTATTTTTATCTCTCCCTTCATATGAGGAAACTGAGTTACAGAGAGTTTAATAGCTTCCCTAAAATGACATCTATAGTGACAGAGTTGGGATTTGAATCCTGACATTGGTTCCTGTACCCTTAACCATTGTAATAATGGGCTAAGGAAACTTAGAATTACAGATGCTAAGTAATTTACATAAGATCATACTGAATTGCTGAAACTGGAATCTTGGTCTTTCTAAAGCCTGCACTCTTATTTATTTGATGTACTGCTTCTCTTGCTTTAATTATCAGCGCTATAGCTTATACTGGGTATAAATAAATTTTAAAAGCTGTAGATCTCGTTTACTAAGATCGGAGAATATTAGATTCCCTTCCAAAAGAGACATAGTTGTAGCTTACTGGGTTAATTAACCTTAAATACTGACAGCCTAGATTTACAAACCAATTAAGTTTACAGTCTCTGGTATTTTCCCTGTGACACTGAAGACTGTATTTCCCTCAATGTGAAAGCTACGTATTCTAAGGCTGGCCACAGTCAAAATTCACTCTCATTTAGGAATTTATACTTCCCTTTACTTCTCAAAACCAGTGATATGATGTACTTAAGTTCTCTGCTTTTGTGGCTCCTCAGTTCCCCAGTGTAGAATGTCTTGTTTCTGAAAGTAACCTGTGATCCACAAGCCTTCTTGGCTGTTTTATTGTTTACCCTTAAAAAATTACTACTCTCTGGAGGCTTACTAGACTCTTTTTCCTTACATAGCACTCTGCTTTCCCCCTTTATTTCAAACATTTATTAAACACTTAACTATGTACCAGATGGAAATAACTTAATCACCGAAGGCCATGCTTTCAAAGAAATGACCTTAGGTTTAGATGTCTGACTGAAATATTATTTCCTTTAAAAACTTCATAAAATTATCTCCTGTTCAGTTTGCAATCATGCACCGAAATATCTTTCAGCAAAATCTCAGTGGCTACTTGTACAGCATATGATATGAAGAGAATAGCGGAAGCCAACCCCTTGGCCCTCTTTTGCTGACAAAAAGGATTCTTTTTTTTGTTTTTTAATCCTCACCTGAGGACATTTTTGCACCTATCCTCAGAAAGAGCAGGAGGGAGAGAGGGGGAAAAGAGAGCAAGGAAGAAAGAGACAGAAACATCGACATGAGAGAGACACATTGACTGGTCGCCACCCACATGACCCCAACCTGGGCTGGGGACAAATTGCAACTGAGGTACGTGCCCTTAGCGGGAATGGAACCCAGGACTCTCTGGTCACTCAGGGAAATTTTTCTACCGATTTTTAGAGAGAGTGGAAGGGAGGGAGGGAGGGAAACATCAATGTGAAAGGCACACATCAATTGGTTGCCTCTAGCATGTGCCCTAATCAGGGCCAGAGAAGGAACCTGAAACCCAGGCACATGGCTTTGACCAGGAAATATGCTACCCTTCAGTGCACAGGCTGATGCTCTAACCACTGAGCACACCAGCCAGGGCAACACCAGCCAGGCAAGCAAGCCTTTTAACAGCTTTATAGCTTCCTTGTTAGAGCTCTTCTACTGAGATTCGTTATCAAAATGAACTGCCATCCTTCTTGGGAAATGCTCTGGAGGCTATTTCCTGAGTTAACACTATGGTTTTCTCTCTGGATTAGTACTGATTTAATATGAAACCGATAGTCAAACATCCCTGAAATATTTAGAAAATGAGTATTATATTTCACAGCATTGTCTTTAGGCATAGAAACAATCCAAAATCAGTATTTGAGCAATGCTGTATCATATTATTGTTGTAGTAATATTTCCATAAAAAAATATGAAGTTTGGGGTAACTATAGGTCATAAAACTCAGCCATACTGTATGAATACATGAAGCAAAGTTCTAATCTGGATCATGAGAAAAAGACGAAAACATCATCAACGATGACGACAGCAACATCTCTGAAATAAATTTTATTTCCCTGAGGAAGGAAGGTACTGAACCTGTTATAACAGAATATGCCTATGAAGGACTAACAAGCCCATCATTCCACCCCAAAATCAAATCACACTGATAAATGTATTATTTACAGGAAAGAAAAAGAGAGATGACCAAACTGAAAAAAAATATCTCCTTTGGCCTCTCATATCTTTTCCAGGCAATGCTGTTCCTGATAAGACACATGGCACAAAATATAATTTTGCTATATATCAAAGTTTGTAAGTTAGGGAAGATAGCAGTTTCTTAAATAGAAAAATTACATGATAATGGCAACAAAGAAGCTTTGGGCTTCTTATGAAGAAATGTTGGTACATAGAAAATAGCATAGAAAACAAAGGATTTAAAAAAAGCAATATAAGGCCCTGGCCAGTTTGGCTCAGTGGCTGGAGCGTTGGCCTGCGGATCAGAGAGTTCTGGGTTGGTTCCCGCTAGGGGCACGTACCAAAAAAATTAATAAATAAAATAAATAAAAAAGCAATATAAGAAATCAAGATATAATAAATAGTACTTCATGGTAGAACTTGATTTAAAGACTAAAACTCTAGCCCTGGCCGTTTTGGCTCAACAGTTAGAGTGTTGGCCTGCAGACCAGAGTCGTGGGTTCGATTCCAGCCAAGGGCATGTACCTCGGTTGTGGTTCATGTATGCGGGAGGCAACCAATTGAACTCATATGATGTTTCTTTCTCTTTCTCTCTTTCCCCCTCCCATTCTATCTGAAGATAAATGGAAAAATATCCTTGGGTGAGAATTAAAAAAAAAAAAAAAGATTAAAACTCTTTAGAAAGTTAAAAAAAAGAAAATTAAAGAAAAAGAAATACTGGCATCCCTACATGGGCACAGTAGATAATCTGAAAATGGTACAAGTGCTGGCCTGTGTATAGCCAGCAGAAACAGCCCTTCAGAGTTTAAGGTGGAACATTTTGTCAGACAATAATGGAGCACCGACTGCATACAGAGGCAATGCATTAGATGCAGAGGTGTCCATTCAAAAGAACACCTTGCTACTCTGAAATTAAAAACTGCCTTCATTTTCTCAAGCCTACATATTTTCAGTAATGAAACAAAATACACATCATATATTTCTTGCAGTGGTGTAGGAGTATTTAGGACCTGTAAGGAAAATTGTGCAAAGAAACTCCTTCCCCTCAGACTTCGTCTGTAGAAATGTCCTACTGGTTTCCTGAAAATAGTGTAAGATTTCTTTAGCAAATAAAATATCACCCTGTTACTATTATCCTTACCATGTTTCACTTTTTTTCATAATACTTAAGACTACCTAACATTTAAGTATTTATTATTTGTCTCCCTCAACTAGAATGCCAGTTCTATGACAGCAGAGAGTTCAAATATTTTGTTCACAGATATATTCTCAGTATCTAGAACTATATCTAGCATGTAATAGACTTTCAAAAAAATTTGTGAACTTAATAAAAGTGTTTTTAAAAAGACTCCTGAATATTGTTAGAATTGTTAAATTCTAAAATTTTGGCCTGTCCTGGTATACATGTGTGAGAAAGAGTAAACTGACCGACTCTGTGGTGTGATTCCCAGTATGGACCAACTCAGGAGTCAGAGGACCAGAAACTGGAGGAGATAAGAGAGTGATTGCAAAAAGAAAGCAACATATCTTATTAAAAGGACTGAAGGAATCAAACACTGAGAGCAAACTTATCTTAAGAGTAAACTAAATTTATCTCTGTTCTTTCCATGTCTGATATCTGACTGAATTCAAATTCACTTCAGATTAGTTGTACTGACATTAGCTTTCTTCCTTGATAAAACTTTCAAAACTTATTTAGTAAAATTTTTTTTTCTCCTCCCTAAATTACTGCCTGCAAGATGTAAGCCCTCAGATGGAAACAGTCAGTCTCCCATTTCTATTTTCAGAGATGTCTGAGTCACAAGGTAGTCTTGGCAAATCACTCTGCTCTATCTTTCAATTTACTGAGGCTGCCTGGGAACGTGAACTGTCAGCCAAACAGGAAGAGGGCCCTTCTGCCTAACTCCAAAAGACCTAAGTCATATGGATGTGGTGAGTTTAATGATGGATATAAATAACTGCAAATGGATTTCCCACAGGGTGGGGGGTGGGAGTGGGAGAAGCAAACATTTAACTTAACTTCCTCTATATGAATTCAGGGCTGGTAGAAAGGACAGACTATTAAGTATAGATGCATAAATGCCCCAATCTTTGCATAACATGTGTTTTCAACTAAAGAGATCCCTTCTGTATTCCTACTATACAAACTCCAAATATAAGCACAGGAATGTGACTGATCTGAGCCTGGCAAAGTTACACTGTTAAAGAAAAAGTCAGTGTTCATAAACATGTGTAACTCTGTCACAATGGCCCTTTTTATTTTTTAGGAAGGGGTATAAAGAGTTACTTCTACCTAGCTACTGTAATTTGTGCCCCCTCTGTGGTCTTGAGGTCCTCTTGGTTGTTGTAGCTAGTGTTCTCCCTAAATTGTTCTGCTTTAGTGACTATAATTCCAGACCTCCCTCCCCCCAATGATGTCTCTTGACAGAATTACTCTTTCTGTACTCACACAAATGGAAACTGAAGAGACGAAAAGCCCTGGGGATGTAGCCATTGCAGCTCTCAAACTGATCCACTGCTATACCACAAGCTGAATGTCTGCGTCTCTTCACTTGGCAAAGTTCCTCTCTTGGCTCAGGGTTAGTGATCTTGTTTGGCATAGGAGGCTTAGGACCCAGGGGGCGCCTTTCAGCTGAAAAACACCGTGCTGCAGCAAGCTAGCTGGGAAGCTCCCAGTTCTAAAGAGAGGCTGTTTACCAGAAGAGCATAACAAGGGCAGGTCTGACTGCAAGGCTGAGACGTGGAGGCAGAGCTGCCGCCAAGGGGACCCCAGTTGGTCAATCTGCAAGATGAAGGTGGTGAGGATGCTGTTGGCCTGGGTGCAAACATTCCTTATCAGCAACATGCTCCTAGCAGAAGCCTATGAATCTGGAGGTAAGATTACAATCTTTCCTTTCTGCAGCAACTTAATGAAGCAGAGAGGGTAAAGCTCCCTACTTCCCAAGCATGGAGAAGCTACACAGGAAGATGACAAGAAAGGAAGCTTTTAGCCAGTTTCTGTTGTCCCAAGAAAGCTTTCTTCCATTTTTTTTTTCTTTCTCCTTTTCCTTGCCAGGGGTTTGCAGCTCCATCTTTGCCATTAAGAACAAAGGCAAGTAGCCACTTTCTCTTTCCTTTTCCTTGCCTGTGGCTCATGAGTGGATGGAACTTGGGGATTCATTCCCCCTACTCCCTAAGTCTTGTCCTTTTCAGAGACTTTGCATGGATGGTGTGGCCAGAGCACAGCCCTCCTTCCCCAGCCTCTTCTTATGGTTCTGCTGCTGAGGGGAGAAGGAGTTTGGAGTTGCATCCAGGCAGAGTGTGAGGAAGGTTCCCTCCGTTTGAGACTCTTTTGCCTGACTGAATCAAGGCTTTTGCAAATTCTCCCAGGAGGGAGTGTTCCCTATGGAAGTGTGGCCATGCGGGAAAGGGAACACCAGAGTTTATATAACATGGAACTGAAACACAGGGATGAATTTCAGGCCTGGCTGCCCACCGAACCAGGACCTTCCCTGCACCCTCCTCCACGGGGGCCACAAGTTACAGTATAGCAACCCTTGGCACTTGTGCAGTGCTTGCCGGCTTTAAAAAAAAAAAGGGCTTAGGTCCAGGCATTGGCGGAGTTTTCCACTGGAGTCAGGAAGCCCAGCAGGGTACAGGGTCTCCGAGGCCCGGTGACCCGGGCTCCCCAGCTGGCCAATCAGTGTCTGGGGGGGCTCCTCTTCCTCACAGGCTGCTTCTGGGACAACGGCCACCTGTACCAGGCGGACAGACCCTCCCCCGCGCCAGGCCTCCGCTGTCTCAACTGGCTGGATGTGCAGAGCCGCCTGGCCTCTGCCCCCAAGTCGGGTGAGTGTCCGCCCCGGGCGGCGGGCGGCGGGCGGGCGGCGGCCGCAGTCGGGGCCCCGGCCCATGACGCCTTTCTCCCCTCCTAGGCGCCGGCAACCACAGCTACTGCCGCAACCCGGACCTGGACCCGCGTGGGCCCTGGTGCTACGTCAGCGGCGAGGCCGGCGCTCCGGAGAAGCGGTCTTGCGAGGACCTGCGCTGCCCAGGTATCCACCCGGGACCCCCGTGCCCTGGGCTGTCTGCGAGCAGCCGTAACCGCCGCCGCGCACGTGCGGCCGCATGACGCCGGCCGGCCCTGCCCGTCCCCACGCCATCCGATTGGCCAGGACTGTCTCCAGGCCGCGGGGCCCAAAGCTTATTGGTCGCCGCTGCCGCTCTGAGTGAGCTCATCCTCCGCGAGCGCCTTGTAAACAACCCAAGGAGGCGAGGCCCAACCCCTCGGCTGGGAGCTCACCACCGGAGCACTACCTCCGGGAGCCTCAGGGACCCGCGACCAGTGTCCGACGCCCTTAGCGATCCCTTCCGCGTTTACTGAACATTTATGGAGTATCTGCTGAGTGTTATCCTCTGCTCACAGCCCTCATGGGAAGAAGCTGATAGGGGGATCTGAGCCTCAGAGAAATTAAGTGACTTACTGAGGCCATGGCAGAGTCCGGATATGAATCCAAGTTTCTTAGATTCCAGAGTGCAGACTTGTTGCTTCCGAGGCAGCAAGACAGTTTTCTAAGATTAAATGGAATATGTAAACATATAACTTAGGGATTGGCACAAAGCGTGAGCTCAACAAATGTGAGCTACCCACAGGAGTCATAGTTGGCGCCTGGAGAAGAAGGCAACTGAGCTGGCTGTTGGAGGATAGCAAGGATTTGAACAGATGAAGACATGGGGAGGCAGGAGAGGCCCTTTCTTCTGGCCTTCCCTCCACATTTGCCTCTTCCCTGCTGTGGTACGGCCCTCACAGGCCTGGTCTTGCCCCTAGGGGAGAATGTGATTTCAGTGTGTGTGGGTCATTATAAGGTGGATCCTCCTCATCTCCCCTAATGCTAAGGACAGGTTCAGCTGTGGAATTCACTCAGACCACTCTCTGATGAGAGCTGTTTTTTCACTTCACCTCCAGAGTCTATTTCCCAGGACCTGCCAACCTCCAGGACAGAAACTGAGGAGGCGTCTGAAGTGCCAAGTGGAGATGAGGTGCGGTTGTTTGCTCCTGCCAATGCCCTGCCCGCCCGTAGCGAGGCAGCAGCTGTGCAGCCAGTGATTGGAATCAGCCAGCGGGTTCGGGTGAACTCCCAGGAGAAAAAGGACCTGGGAACCCTGGGTATGACTACTCTACTCCTGTCCTTATGGGATTCATGAAGAAATATTTGCTGATGGTCTGGGGTATGGCTAATGGGGCCTTGTGTCCTGTCCTTGGCAGGCTATGTGCTGGGCATTAGCATGATGGTGATCATCATTGCCATCGGAGCTGGCATCATCTTGGGATATACCTACAAGAGGTCAGTAGTTTCTCTTCTGGGCTTCCTCAGAGAAAGGTACACAAAGTCAAATCAGATGCCTTTGTGGCATTCTTACCCAAGAAGAAAGTGAGGTGTTGAAAAAGGGAAACCAGTTCAAGATGTAGAGATTTGGTTCTAGTCTTTACTAGATGACCTTGGATAAACCCCTTCCTTTTTAACATTTTTATTATGATTATGATTATTTTTAATCCTTATTGTTGAAAGTATTACAGATGTTCCCCCTTTTTCTCCCCCATTGACTCCCTCCCCACTCAAACTCCTTTCTTTGATGCCTTTACTCCTCACTCCAAAGCCTTGTGAATAGGGGTTCATTTTACAGATGAGGAAACCTTTGTCAGAGGTAAAGTGACTCATTCAAGGTCACACTACCTGGGAATGGCAGAACATGGATTCAAACCCAGCTTTTTTGACACCAAATTTCCTGATTTCTAATCTAGTGTGTCTGGTGTGGAAGTGAGTGGCACTGCAGAAATAAGGCTGGACACTTACTGAACTTTTTCTGGGAGTTATAAAATTCTGCTACTAGAAGAGATCCCCAGCCACCACTTTTGTCATTGGGGCTTGAATTTCCTGAGCCATAAGGATTTCCTCTAGGATAGGACAAAAAAAGTGAGTTAGAGGACAGAGAGCCTGTTTGCTACTTCTCACCGCACATCATAAAGCCAAAAAAGCTACCTGGGAAACTCAGGGACATGACCTATAGCTGGGACAGCAGGAAGAGGAATTCTTATTTTGAGAGGGCCTCTGAGATACCATGTGGAAAGGCTATCAAAGTCAGTGCATGATGATAAGCCAGAATTGCATTCATTTTTTTTTTTTTATCCTCGCCCGAGGACTTTTTTCCATTTATCTTTAGACAGATTAGGAAGGAGGGAGAAAGAGAAAAACATCGATGTGAGAGAGACACATTGACTGGTTCCCTCCCGTGTGACCCTGACCAGGGCCAGGGACCGACGGCAACCGAGGTACGTTCCCTTGGCCGGTATCAAACCCGGGTCTCATTGGTCCGTGGGCTGACGCTCTAACCGCTGAGCCAAACCAGCCAGGGCCAGAATTGCATTTGTTTTTATAGGCCTGTCCAACTTTGGGAAAATTATTTGCCATTCTTGGGCAAAATTGGGGATTTGACTTCTAGCTCCGAGTGTAATATGTCTCTCCAAGGTCTGAGAAGGCTTTCTGTAAGGGAAGTGATATGGTGGGCTGAATTTTCCAGGGCAAGGGCTATGTTTGGCCCCATAGCCCCAATGGATCACCCAACATTAAATCTAAGATGTCCTTAGAGGTAATATTAGTCATGCTCCTCATTTTACAGATGAAAAAGGGAAGTGTTTGGTAATAACAACAATAGTAGCAGTAGGGAACAGTTACCATATGCCAGACATTACTTCAGGCAGTTTGCATGCTTTAAGTCAGTTCTCACAATCACCTTGATGAGGCAAATGCTGCCGTTATCCCCAGTTTACAGATTAGGAAACTGAGTCAAGAGAGGATATGTAGCTTGCCTGAGGTCACACACCTGGCATTTGGTGAGGCCAAGTCTTAGCCTTGCCACTAATCTGTGTGACTTTGGGCAAGTTGCGTCTGTTTCCTGCTCAAAGTGTTGCTCTTGCTGAGGCATGTGACTGCTTAGCTCATTGGTCATAAACAATAGCTGTTTTTCTTTTCTGTAAAATGTGGGTACTATGTTAGTGTCCTCCAAGCCAAGCCCGCTTCCTTCTCTGGTTTTCTATGATTCAGGAAGCAGAGGTACAGAGAGGGGAAGTATTGACCTGAGTGAGAGGGTCTCCAGAATTCTAGTCCATGGTTGTTACCGCAAGTGAAATGGTTGATGTGGAAGGTCCAGGGACACCTGCTTGTTCATTTCAGAGTTAGATGAAATGATCTGGTGGCTCTGGCCTACAATGCATAGTCAGAACCAAACCATGTAGGCTGAGTTTAGCCCTCCTTCCTCAGTCACTGAATATCAGTTGACTCTCCTCTAATCTCTTACAGTTTCTAGGCCTCCAGGTGCTTGAACTGGCTAAACATTCTTAATTTCGAGCTCAGTTCTCATGCCAGCAAGGAAGCCAGGCCTTTCTTCTAGATTTGCTCCTCTAGCTGTCACAAGACTGCCCTGAGACCTAGAATTTACCTTCCTGTAGACTCAGGGCAAGGCACCAAGTCACCAGACTCCCCGTCACTAACTAGAAGACCACCCCTTTCCTCAGCGAAAGTACTCTGAGTATAGTTCAGACTATATGACAGGAAACCACAAGTGGGCTAAAGGCAAGCTCTCCCCAGAGACAGAATAAACTGTCCTAGAAAGAGCTGTTGAGTGTAGATTCTGCTACCCTGCACCTCAGTTTCTTGACTGTGAAATGGGGATATATTCCTCCTCCACACACACCATACCTACCCCATCCCGCCCCCCAAGATTATCATAAGTATTAAATGTAAACAGAACAGCATTCAGGTTAAATGATTATAGTAGCAGCCAACATTTATTGCATGCTTTCTTAATAAGTAAGGCTGTACTGAATGCTCTTCCCTGATGATCTTGCCCAAGCCTCATGGCCACACTAGAAGGATCACTTTTATACTGTTTTACAGTGAGGAGCTGAGACCTAGAAGAGTTAAGTGCAATGTCTAAGCTACACAGCTAATAAAGTGTGTCTAAGGATTTTCAGTATCTCCCAAAAGTCCAGAGAGGCCCAGTAGCTTCATGCAAATTTGCTCTGAATGACTGTAGGAAAAATAAGAAACTTTCAAAATAAAATAGCTGGGTTTAGAAGTCAAAAGAACCAGGCCCTAGTTCTGGAACTGCTACCAATTCTGGGTGTGACACAGGACAAGTCATTTACCTTCTCTGGTTTTATCAGAGTTTCTGCATCTTTAAAACAGTGTAGAGTCAGGAGGTTAGCTATGATGATCCTTCCAGCTCCAATATTTCCAATACTATATGCTGGTGGCTGCAGGCACTACTAGTTCAAATCCCAGCTCTGCCATTTGCTTGAATAAATGATTTAACCTCTCTGTATCTGCCTTCTAATCTCTGAAACAGAAATCCTAATAGATAGCACATAGGTTTGTTGTGAGGATGAAATGACACAATTTGGGCATACAGTTGGTGTTAATAACCTTAGCTGCCTTGAGGAATCTTTTCTGAGAAGCAGTGTGGCACAGCACTGCTTCTGACTGGGAAAATAGTGGTGGCTCAGAGTTACAGAATAATTTGAAGAAACCTGTGCTGCCGGAAGGAGGTCGGCGATGCCTTCATCCTGCCCCCCTTTCCCAAAGAGGGTGTCACCAGTAGGCAGGAGCTTCATCCACACTTACTATCTCTGGGCAGCCTAGCTCCTGAACTTGGCCCTGGAGCAGCCAGGGATAGAATTACTGCAAGCCTTGAACTCTGCCTAGGAGTTCAGTGATGCTAATGGGATGGAGCTTTCCCCTGGCTGGGAAGGGCAGGGCAGGCAGGCACCAGGCTTCTTCTCAGGGGAAGAAGGGTGCAGGTGGGGGTGAATGAGGGCTTAGCCTGGTGGGTCTTTTTCCTGGTTGTCCGGGCCACAAGGTTCAGACTGCCCGTCTGCAGCTGTCTATTCCTGCCTCAAGTGCAGTGTCGGTGCTAGCTCTGCAGGGAGAGCTTATTTTCTGGGGGGGGAGGCAAGGAAAAAAATGTAAGTCAACACCACTCTACCTACCCCCTTAGGAGAGAAGCTGAGTCCGTGAATAAGCCTTTTGTTCTTTCTTGGCAGCCAGACAACAGCCTGGCTGTCCCCCTTCCTCCCCAACAAAGTGGTGAGAATGGACTGAGCTGCTTGATGGTCATTGCAGCAGGCCTGGTGGCCTCTCTCCCATCTTGAAGGGAGCTGGGGGCAGCCACTGCATCTCCAGGACTCACAGGCAATGTTAACAGGAGGTACTTGGGGTTGAGTGTGTTTTGAGGCTTCTAAATGGATGAGACTATAATCCAGATGAGTCCCAGCACCTGTTTCGTTTACCCTTCCTTGGCTGCTCTTCCAGCCCTGCTCTGCTCCATTAATACAAAGTAGATTTTTTTTTTACCCCCTAAAGACTTGTGTATGATGTAGCCTGACCATTATCAACAGTTCAGCTGGCCACAGCCAGGTTTTTGGTAAAGGAGGTAGCTGAGGAAAGCAAAGTCTCAGTTTCTTCATTTATAAAATGTGGATGATGATATCTTACAAAGTTGGTGTGGAAATTAAAGATGGTACATATATAAAGTGTGTGGCATCCAGTAGGTATATAGGTAGCTCTTCTCATTCTGGATGATGGGAAGGCTATTTTCTGGCACTTTAGTAAGTACTCAGGAAGTACACTCTTCCTCCAGACATATTTTGAAATTCAGGCCTGCACAAAAGATACTTGCATACTACGCTTTTGTAAATTGCTTTTTGGTCTTCTGATGGCTTGGGGACTCCCTTAAAAAATCTAACCCAGACCACCCTGGCTGGTTTGGCTCAGCAGTTGGAGCGTCAGCCCGTGGACCAATGAGTCTCGTGTTTAATTCTGGTCAAAGGCATGTACCTTGGTTGCGGTTCAGCCCTAGCCCTGGTTGGGGTTGTGCAGGAGGCAGCCATTCGATGTGTCCCTCTCACACTGATGTTTCTCTCTCTCTCACTCTCTCCTCCTCTCCCCCTCCCTCCCTCCCTCCCACTCTATCTGAAGAGAAATGGAAAAATATCCTTGGGTGAGGATTAAAAAAAAATCTAACCCAGGCTTTTCAAGCTTCTCCTTACATAGGTGATGTTGGCCTTTGTTTTATTGTGGAGGTAGGTGTTTCCTTCTATGTGGCAGCAGCTGTAACCAATGAGCAGTGCTCAAGGGCAAAGTGAATCTTAGGCTTTGAGTGGGGATGCACTTGGTCCAGACAACCCTCTCCCCATGTCCCTCCATTTCTCTTCTGGGTGCTCTGGGAGTTAATCTGCTTCTGGAGTTGGTGGTGTTCTGTACAGAGGCTAATGAGAAGGATGGGGCAAGAGCCTCAGGCTTCCACATTCAGAAACTCAGTGACTCAGGGAGATGAGCTCACAGATTTGCCTTCTGTGACCTTACAGTGAGAACTAGGGAATCAGAGCATATATCATGTGAGGGAATCTTACAGAATGTTGGGGGCCTTGGGGCAGCCCAAGTCCATCTCCTTGTTTTACAGATGATGAAATTAAATGCCCAGAAAGGAGAGAAGTTGCTGAGGTCACATAAACAGTACTTGCTTGGCTGGTCAGTTTCCTTGGAAAGCCAGATAAAGTAACATTGCTTGGTGAGTCAAGTCATACTCAGGACAAATCATAATAACCTTCTATGACTTTTGTAGCTGTTCCAGTGTTTTCAAATTGCTTTCACTTTCATTGTCTTATTTTGAAGCAGATATTATCCCCATTTCACAGATGAGGGAACCAAGGCTCAGTGAGTCTGTTTTGCCAAGTGTCACATAGCTAAGGCTGAGCTGGTACGAGAACATGAGCAAAGAGAACTGGTTGATTGAAAGACAGTTCTGAGGCACCTGTACAAATTCCTCTCCTTCCAGCCTGTTATTTTCTCAGTATTCTTCTCCAGTCTCTGGAAACTTTTGTCATTGCACCTCGTGTCATGAAGGATTCGTAATCTGTCAGAATTTAGCCATCTTCTCCAGGAAGTCTGAAGTAGGCCTGTGTTGTTTCACCAAGTCATCCATCAGCTGCCTGCTGCAAGGCCTCTTTGGAGGGAAGTGGGGCTCCTTCCAGAACAATTTTCTCTGACAGCTGAGCCGATGTGTCTAGTTGCTGGCTTTGGAGTATGCGGACCTGGGTCCTGGGTATTGGTTCTGTTGTGCAGTGTGCTAAGCACTCACCAAACTCTTTGGCTTGCACCAGTGGGAAGGGCCCTACACATGCAGGCAGAACATTGGGTTTGAGTCCCTGCCCCACCATTTCTTTGGGGTGACCTTGATCAGGTCTTAACTTCTCTGAGTAGTACAGTCCAACAGACTTTGGTTTGAGTCCACCATGTGGTTGGAGAGTTCCTTAACTTCTTTGGGCTATTTTCTCATCTATAAAATGAATGCTGAGACCTAATTCTTAGGGTTCAGCTGAGAATGAAGTGAGAGAATGTATATAAAGTCCTTAGCATGGAGTGCCCCACGCGAGTAAATGCAGCAACACCGTGGCTTGATTGGGTCACTAAGCACTATGAGAATTTGAAGGCGTGTGAAAACTAAGGGGTCTGATGGTCATTGTATCATTGTTTCCCACTGACCTAAGGAGCCCACAGAGTCCCTTTTGGCTTCTGCATGGGTTGGGGGCAGTCCTTGTTTCCAGCTGGGGTTCACATCTTCTAGGACTTGAGGATAAGACGACTGTCTCAGGACAGGACGGTCAGGTTAGCTTTCTGGACTTTATGGTTTAGAGCTGAGATAGTTCTCTGGGTCTCTTGGAGTCCTGGGCTGAAAGAACAAAACTATATCTTGCTTTAAGAGTCTCTTTCCCGTTGGCCTGCGGTCCAGAGAGACCCGGGTTCGGTTCCCGCTAAGGGCACGTACTTCGGTTGCAGTTTGTCCCCGGCCCTGGTTGGTCGTGCGGGTGGCAGCCACTCGATGTGTCCCTTCACGTCGATGTTTCTCTCTCTCTCTCTCCCTTCCTCTCTCTTCCTCCCACTCTAACTGTACAAAAAATGGAAAAATATCCTCGGGTGAGGATTAAAAAAAAAAAAAAAAAAAAAAAAAAAAAAAAAAAAAAGAGTCTCTTTCCTCTGTGTTCTCTTCCTTGAGTCCCACTGCAGCTCTTTGAGGTTCATATTACTATTACCTCCCAGTTTTACAGACGAGGAAAGACCAGAAGTATAGGAGCTCCTTGTTAGGGCAGTCTGGCAGAACAGGAACCTAGTACATCAACCACTAATTCACTGTGACTGCAGCTAGCTCCTGCCCTGCCCGGATAGTACTTCAGAGGTACTTTCTAATGAGCAAAGCCATACAGGAGGTACAGCTTGAACACTTCGCTCTTTTCTTGCCAGGGGGAAGGACCTGAAAGAGCAGCATGACCAGAAAATGTGTGAGAGGGAGATGCAGCGAATCACCCTGCCCTTGTCTGCCTTCACCAACCCCACTTGTGAGATCGTGGATGAGAAGACAGTTGTGGTTCACACCAATCAGACTCCAGTCGACCTTCAGGAGGGCAGTGCCCCCCTTATGGGCCAGGCAGGCACTCCTGGGGCCTGAGCCCCCCACAGTGGGCAGGAGCCCATGCAGAAACTGGTGTAGGTTGGCCTACCCTCCTACAGCTGGGAGGAGCTACACTTTTTGTTGTGGTTAAAACCCTCCCTTCACTTTTTTTTTTCCTTTTTGTTTTTGGTGAATCCTAAGACAGAAGCAGATGGCGCTGTCGGCTGAGGGCAAAACTGGGTAGGGTCCTACCAATGCTCCTTCTCCAACCCTTGGAGCAGAGTTTTGGATGGAGACGGTGGCAGCCCTGACAGCAGTGCTGCTGACAAGGGCTTCCAGCATTGCCTGTGCCCTGGAACTGAATCAGGGATGGACAGGGAGCTCCCCTAGGCTCCTCTGTGCTTTATTATCTAAGGTGGCCTCAGTATCCACCTTTCTGTTTGTTCTCTGTGGGCTTGAGTGGCATACAGTTATTCATAGTTCAGGTCAAGCAGGTCGAGAGGCAGCATTTAAAAAATATATTTAGTTTAAAAAACATTTGGGATGGAACTCCCTACTGACCTCTGAGAACCGGAAATTAGTTTGTACAAAAACCAAAACTGGAGGTTGAGAATGGGATCTAGGCTGGGGGTTGCTGGGTGTGCTCCAGCTTGCTGGCAGTGATGTGCCTTGACAATAGTGGGCCAGGCCTGGGCCCAGTGACTCTTCCTGTTTCGAAAGGAAAGGAAGGGAAGAATCGCACTGAACATTCCACTTAGGAAGAGGGTAGAGAAGGATCCACAACTGCCTTCGGCCATAGGACCTGAGGTGGGCCTGGGGTGCCCTAGACAGTCTCTCCAAGGTAGACAGTAACCCCTTCATTTTGTGGGGGTTAAGACAACAGTTAGCTAACCTATGGGAATTATACTGTGGGGCTTTGTGAGCTGTTTCTGAGAGGTTAACCTAGAAACTAAGCTCAGTGGCAAGTGCTTCAGGGCTTGCCCCTGCAGTGGCCTGAGTTTGCAGGTAGCTCATTGGCCTCAGGCCAGCTCCTTCCAGTGGGGGCAGTGGAGCTAGGGTCACAACCCCTTACTTGTAAAACAGTCATAGAACCATTGGAAGGGACTTTAGAGTTCCTCAAGCATTTTGGACACAGGGACCCAGAGGGGGAAAGTGATACCCAAGGTCATAGAGAGGTACCTGCATGGCCAAGAGGAGAGTACATTTCCCCACAGCACTGTGCTTCACTGTCAGTGGCTCAGCAGGGCCTCCAAGTCCTGATGTCACACTTGGAGGCCTTAGAAATGCTCCCTGTCCACAGAGCTTCCTTCCCCAAGGCCCTTCTACTGCCTCACATGGAGAGGGGGTTAGTGGGGTTCCATTTTCTTTATCAGGCTGTTCCTGAGGGTGGTTTACTGAGGGGACTTAGGCCTCAGGGGAAGTCCCTTGGTGTTAGTGATGCTGAAAGAACATTACTGGTTTCTACTTTTCTATAAAAGCATTTCTCTGTGTACATGTTTTATATACCTCATTCTGACACCTGCGTATAAAGTGCAGGAAATTGCTCTGCATTTGACTTATATAAATTATTTTTTAAAAAAGAAAGTTTCACATTACCAAGTTTTTGTGGGGTGTCGGGAATACTTCTCCCTAAGTTGGGAAGCTTTTGGTTACCTTGTCAACACTGTTGTGGCCCTGACCCTGTCACTGGGAGGTGTAACAGTTAAATGGTTGGTAACGGCAGTCATCACCAGGAATCTTTCAGGCTGAAGCTACAGGAAAGATGGGTGTGCGGGCATCTCAATGGTCTGTTGATTACTGCGAATCCTCTTCCCCTCAGCATTCTTTCAGAGTTGGAGGTAGTTAAAATGAACATCCAGGCAGCCCTTGGTTGGGGCTGGAAATGGGTAGTGGGTGGTTGTGCAGTAGTAGCCAAGGAGGGATTAGTGTACAGAGGGGGATGAGCCCTTGGGCTGCCAGGAACAGCTTTATGCTGAGGAAGGTCCCTGCAGGAGTGATTCCTAGGGCTCCAGAAGCAACAACCAATGGGAGTGTTTGTTGGACTTTCAGCAACAGGTTCTCAGCCTCTAGGAACACCCAGGGCAATCTTTGCCCATGTCCAGACACTTCTCTATAGTCCTATCAGCAAGGGGCACCCTAGAGCATCAGTTTTTCCAGGATCTAGATTCTGCCCTTAAGTTGGGACTCTTAAAGCTTTGGGAGATAATCACCTTTGGATATATAGATTTATATTGTGCCCAGGATACCACTCACTAGATAGCATCTTCCTGCCCATTGCTCATCCCTCTACAACATTCTCTATGTGCAGAAGCAAGAACTGGGTCTTCTCAAGCACTTGTAAGGAAACAAAGGGTAGGGGTGACTTGCAATCATTTTTTCCCATTATGAAGGTGACACGCAGCCCTGTGGAGAGGACTCTAGGATATCCAGGCCTTAGGAATGTACATATATTAGAACGTGAGAGTGTAGGGCCCCAAAGGAATAACTCAGCTGGTAGGTGGGAGTCAGATCTACTTTAAGGACTGGGCTGCCTCAGGTGGGATGTGTATGTTCTCTGGAGCAGGTTGGTGTCTACATAAGGGGAGGGGATTAGAATTAGGGAGCATGAGACCTCCCTGCTGTGGGGAGTCATGTGACCTGGACCTGGAAATGGCCAGTAACATTCCTCTAGAAGGGAGCAGGGGAAGCCTTGCACTCCTTGGCAGACAGGCCAGCAAACTCTCCATGTGCATCTCCCTGAGCCAGACCCCAAGTCACCTTTTACTCTCAGTATGTCAGTTATGTTAACTGCTTAATTTATTTTGGTTTGCTCAATGGCCCAACTTGGACCCACCACTCCCATGCTTGCTGGGGACAACTGAGGCACAATCAGCCACACAGTGCTGACCCTGCTACTACTAGAGGCCCAGGGCGCAACCCCACAAGCTTCACACTCCACTCTTAAGTATGGTCTATGTAACATAGCCAGAGATGACATCTAATCCCACAACTCATCAGGTCTAGGAACAGTATTTCACATATCACCCAATAGATAGAACAAGATAGTATTAACAGCAAGCACTCTCCTGAATCACTCCCACCCTCTTCTCCCTCCCACCCTCAATACAATCACCATACATTGCAGTAATATCCCAAACCCATTCCCAGTTTGTTAAATATGGTGCAAGTTCACAGACACTTAGGAGGCAAATCTATTTGTGTTGAGTCGTTGGATCTCTGGGAGCCAAGGTAGAGGCTACAGCTAGGAGCTAGTGAGGTGGGCAAGACAGCAGGGCAAGTTGAAGCCAGATGGCTCAGCTCAGGAAGTTGTCTCCCCAGCATCTAAACTCTGAGACTCTGCTACCACCTCTTCCTGCCCAAGTTGGTGCCTGGACCTGGCATAGTGAAGGGTGAGCAATGGCTGCCACAAGGCCGAGATTGCTGAGGTTCCCACTCCCCCAGCCTCATACACAGGGCCTGTGACAAGCCATACTATCCTCCAGAACCCATCCAGCTCTAGGCAAAAGGTCACAGGCTTCTGGCTGAGGTGCCCATCAGGGTATGAGTGACAGCAGCCAGGATATGGGCTTTCTAGGGGGCAGGGCCTCTTTCTTTCCAGCCCCCAAGTCTCTTCCTGCACTGTGGGTGACTTCTTGTTGCAGGCAGAAAGGGTGCCAACCAGAAGTTCTCAGCTAGTCTCCAGCAGTAGAGTTTGAGAACATGAAGCAGAAGCTCCCCCTCACATTGATGTAGCCTGGGAGGTGAACAGAAACCAGCCCTTCCCTGACTCCTGGCCAGTTCCACCACAAACTAAGGGACTCTTCAAAACCTATTTCCTCAACCCCTGCCCAGGGGAGGGTGGGACATGGGAGTGAAAAGAGGGTAGCACCACTGTCATTTCACATCCTTGGATTGCAGCCTGGCTGCCAGTCTTTCTCTCATCCACACTATGGCTTGAAGTCCTCCTGTCTCTAGCAGGACCAGAGAGACTTCAGAGCCCAGGGGCAGGTTCACCCTGGAATCCCGCCAGCAGGTCCAGATCATGCAGATTAGTGTAAGCAAGAGCCCGGAATCCCAGGGAATTTCCGAGTGGTCATGAGTAACAGATTCCTCCTGGCCCAGGGGCCAGGCTTTTTTTTGGTTCCTTCTTCACAGCTTTCAGGCGAGTGTTGGATTTATAAACAGTAACCAGGCCCCAAAACTTGTGGAGATGGATTTCCCTGGTGCTGTGCCGGCTCGCCTCCTGGGGAGGTAGTAGGGATGGCTTGTTCTGCTTCTAAACAAGCTGCCAATCCACAGGAAGCTGGGATGGCCCTGCCCACCGCAGGGGGCTGGGCCAGGGCTAGGGGGGCGAGTCCCGGGTCAGGCCGTACTGCATGCTCACAGTGTGGTCCAGCTCCTCCAGCTCTGCAGGCAGTGGGATGCCCAGCTCCCCCAGGTACAGGGAGAGGGCCTCAAAGGAGTCCTCCAGTTTTGAGAATGCCGGTCTAGAAAGAAAAGTGGTGAGTTGGAGGTAGGTGAAACATGGGTAGGGCCACAGGGTGTATGAAAGGCACCTAGGCTTGTGGCTTAACCACTTCCTAGTTGTATGACGTTGGGCAAGCCCCTAAACCTTGTGCTTCTGGGGGAAATAGGGTTGTTGCAAAGATTAGAGACAACATTGTAAGAAGGCTGGTGTTGCCCCAGGAGATAGCTTAAAAACAGAAAGTCCAGGGGGAAAAAAGCCCCTCCCATGTCTTAGAGAAAATGCAATCATCAAAGGTGGGATTGGACTAAGTGCACTCTTTTTTTTTTTTAATCCTCACCCGAGGACATTTTTCCATTTTTTGTACAGATAGAGTGGAGGGGAAAGAGAAAGAGAGAGAGAAACATCGACGTGAAAGGGACATATCGAGTGGCTGCCACTTGCACGACCAACCAGGGCCGGGGACAAACTGCAACCTAGGTATGCACCCTTAGCAGGGACCAAACCCAGGTCTTTCTGGACTGCAGGCCGACGCTCTAACCGCTGAGCCAAACCGGCCAGGGCCTAAGTGCCCTTTTTATTTTATTATTATTTAAAAAAAACTTTTTTTCTTTATTGATTTGAGAGAGAGAGAGACAGGAAGCTCCAGAGGGAGAGAGAGAGAAACATCAATGAGAGAGAACATGGACTGGCCGCCTTCTGCATGCCCTCCACTGGGGATTTGGCCCACAACCTGGGCACGTGCTCTGACCAGGAATCGAACCCACGACCTCCTGGTGCATGGGTCAACGCTCAACCACTGACCTA